ATCACGCCAGTCGGCTATTTCGAACTTGATCCGAAAAAAAAAATGACGTGCATCAAGGTCCTATTATGTTTAATGTATGTACCAAATTTGAATGAAATCCGTCCATGCATAACTGAGATCCGGGTCCGGAATGGTGAAAATGTGCGATTTCAATGCATTTTCGGCCTTAAAGCGGCCGCCATTTGGCTATCGTTAATGAGATCATGAAACAAATGCACATACATATTTGTGACATGATGTACCTTGTGTGTGTGAAGTTTGAACTCGATCAATCCAAGCATGTCTCAGATACGGATCCAGAACTGAATTCTTTAAAACAAAATGGCCACCAGTCGGCCATTTCAAACCCGATCCAAAAAAAAAAATGACGTGCATCAAGGTCCTATTATGTTTAATGTATGTACCAAATTTGAACAAAATCCGTCCATGCATAACTGAGATCCGGGTCCGGAATGGTGAAAATGTGCGATTTTGATGCATTTTCGGCCTTAAAATGGCCGCTATTCGGCTATCGTTAATCGGATCATGAAAAAAATGCATGTGCATATGTCCCATATAATGTGTGATGTATGAGTGAAGTTTGAACTCAATCGGTCCATGCATGTTCGAGATACAGGTGATCACGGACGCACGGACGCACGGAAGCACGGACGCACACAGGGCAAAACATAAGTCCCCGTTTTCGGACTGCGTCCGAACGGGGACTAAAAAAGGCCAACCACCAGCACTATCACATGATATCGGCATTAAATCACATGATACCCCCAGCACTGTCACATGATATCAGCATTAGATCACATGATATCAGCATTAGAACACATGATATCAGCATTAAAACACATGATATCAGCATTAGATCACATGATACATACTTTGATGAGGTAACTGAGATCCATTTTTGTAAACTCCACAAAATCTGTATTTAATCTAATAAACTTGAGATGCTGTTCAAAAAACAGTCCCCTGAAAAAAATAAAATTACACAATTATATTTATTAAAAAAAGAAACAGACATATTTTAGTAAAACATTTTCAAAAACTCAGTAGCAACTACTTACAACTGATATCATTAATGAATGACAAGTCTCTGTGAATTCTGTAAGTCAAAAACTCTGAGAGCTCTTCACACAGGGGAGTCACAGTGTTTTTAAAATTATATGCTTTGAACATTTCTAGCAGTAAATAATGATCAATTCAGCCCCATATTTCAATGTTTTCAATCTAATTGTCATTTTTATCTATGAATGTAACATTCTTTACTTTGAGTGAAATATATCAATACATAGACAGAACATCAATAACATCCAGAAGGCAATCATAAGTCACAAAATGAATGTATTTGTAAAGTTTGCATGTAAATGGTCTAAGTATGTCACAGATAAAATAAAAATGGCAACTATTGAGTCTTTTTTGCATATTAAATTAGCTGCCTGTCTTGAATTAAGTTATAAGGCAAAGTTACAGGCTTGTCATTTTCTGTTGTATCGATGAAATCAGTCTAAAAAATGAGTCTGGATGGATGAATGATCCAGTACACAATAAATGAAATACTAATTTACTAGTTTATTTGTGTATTAATTGAAGATGAGATTATAATACAATAGTGGCGAACACTTACTTGCTAACTCCAACTTTACCAAAAGTATCAGTTCTAGATATTTCAGGCCTAATACAAGATCTACCTTTCCTTTGTTCTGGTTCTCGAATCCAATCATCCCAGAAACTAGTAAACAGGTAGAAAACAAATGATAATCCAGGGAAATATGTTTTCTAATATGCAAATTCTGGCAAAGTGCTTTTACACAAAATCCGACAACAAATGGTTACGCCCCAAAATATATTATATTGTATACAATACTACATTGTATTACTTATAATGACTAAACTAAATGCTTACCCATTGGGCCATTTTGGTTCCAATTCACTCCACATATTTTGAGTCATCATCCAACCCAAACCGGGAAAAAAATCTGTTCTATATAGTAAATCTAAAAATAAATGTACATTTATATAACGCAACAGCTTAGAATATGACAAACATAACAGCTTTGAATACAGACAGCACAAACAAAATTTTGTAATAATAAAATTATTGTGCGACTGCCCTCAGGTGGTAGAATATGGAATATGTCAACATTTGTCACCAGAGGGCGCTAATGCCAAAAACTTGTAGAGATTTTAGGAGTTAAGCAGAACAAGTTATCACATTTCAGTGAATTAGAAAATGTTTGTTTTTTTAATTGTTTCTCTATAAAAAAATTGGGTCTAAAAGGTTTTTTACATGACATATAACAATGGTTATGAAAATCTACATACCAATGTGTTAAATTTAATAACTTACCGCTTTGTTGTGATATAAGCTTCTCTTTGCCATTGTCATTCCAGGCAGACACACAATAGAGTGTTGGATCACGTATTAAAATTGAATATGAAGCAAGAAAATATTCAAAAAAATCCACAGCTACATCTAAGTCATCTGAAAGATCAAATTTTTCTTGTTTTAAAAATTTGTTACAAATGAGTTCAATATCAATAGTCTGTCACTAGAGGGCGTTATTTACAGGAATGGTGTACATGTATTAGTATTTTGTCTCTGATTCTACATCTGAAATCTTTGTATTCTGAGAATATGTCTATGCAAAAAAAGAAAGTTGGTAGCATATCCACCAATTCTTGGCTCTACAACAATCATAATCAATTATGACATGTGAACAAGTCTCAGCTATATTTGTTTTCCTTCTGAATTATAACCATACAGACAATTATCGAACACTTCAAAATGTAGGACAAGCACATGAGGAAACAAGCCACAAACTATCAAACTATCACATGGCTGTGGGTTTGTGACAGAAACACCGAGTTTGTCACGAGTAGTTTGTGGTGTAAACTTAGTCAATAGTAAAGCATAGGTGAATGTAATTTAAAATTTTCATAATAACATACCTTCAACTATTATAACACTATTGTATCTAAATTGATTGAATACTTGTCCTAAAGCCCATTTGTAATGTCTTGATATGCGATAATAACCCTGATATTTCACCTCTTTTGGAGGAAGGTAAATATTGCTTTGATCAGGTTGCTGGAAAATACACAGTAAAGTTATGAAATAGCACAGCAATATAAACTCCTACTATTATGCATACATTAGTAGAGTACCAAATCACTTATCTAGACAACACACATCTTTCATCTGGTTAGGAAGGCTATGCAATAACAGTGTATGCACGGCAAAGTAAATATGTAACCTGGCTTGGACAGGTTTCATGGAATACATTTTTTTCGTTATGAGGATGCCTAATTACTGCAATACAAGTCACAGATGTATATGTAAATGTTTAACTCGCTTTGCCATGCATATGCTGTTATTTCATACATAAAGTATATTCAAAGATTTATAATCATGTACAGATGAGATGAAAATCTCACACGAAGTGAACTCTCCTGATTTACGAGAATTTGCAATTTTGTATGGTAAATCAAATGTAGTTGTAGCTAATAGTGTCACAGAATACGATGGATGCTTAGAAATGTTTAGATTGCTTAAACAGAAATAAGTGATATTATCGATGCATTGAAAACACAATTAAATGCTTTGAAAATTACCAAAAATGATCTCAGATGAACATGATCCACTTTATGCATTAGAATTTCTAGAAATGTAAGTTTCTCGTGTGGTTTTGTGATAATATCTAAATACCTATGATTTATTCAATTTGCATCATATCTTCATGCCTTATCACACCCTAATCTTATAAATTCTTGGGATTATAAAGATTTATACCCAGTCTTCATAAAAGATTAGGAACATACACAATACACATTTTGTTTTTTTAATATAATTGTAACATGCAAAATTTCCAGATATTGAAGTCACTGGTGTTAACCAGTCTCCCTAAGCTAATACTACATGTATCGCAAAGCAGTCTGATTTAGATTGTTGAGTTATAATAACAGTCTGCTCCAAAACTTGACCCCACAATTTCCCTGACATGAGGTGAACACAATAACCACTGTACCCTCACCTAGGTCTTGGAAATATTTAAATTGTTAAACTTTTTTCACAACCAGTTTCCAGTCTGGTGGTGAAAAGGTTAAAGGGCGGGAGTCGTCGCGTCGCGTCCTGTTCGATATGGGACTCATAACGGCGTATACATTGCATGTAAAATACATTGTTTATTTACATGAAATTCGAACACGCGCTGCACGACGACCACCGCGCTTTAAACTGAGATGAGCAAAATTGTCACTACATTCAGAACGCACACAGTAACCACTTTGCAGATAAGCATGGAATATCAACCAATTCTATGCATTGTAGATTTCTCTTGCAGTTTTGTGATATTAAAATTCAGGTTGAAGAACTCTACATACCTGTATGTGTGTGAGTTGATCTCCATATGACTGTATAACTTTAGCAGTTTCTTCATGATCACAGTCTTGACTTACAATAATGGGGAATTGTTCTTTAGATGGTCGGTATCTGCGACAAGAGAAGAGAACTGATAATGTTATCACATACATACATGTAATGAATATGTCTATAGTGATTGCTGATTTTGTTAAAACAAAATGGTTGCCAGTCGGCCATCGTTTGAAAGGGTCATGACCCATTCGGTGATGTACAAAATACAATTGTCAGTGTGCCAAATTTGGATTGATTAAACAATGTGAATTTGAGAAATAAATAATGAATGTTGCTGATATTCATCAGAGGGGACCGTAAGGAACTCTTACAAACTGGGCTACCAGTAGGATTTTCAATGACTCACAAAACATGAAGTTTTCCCTAACGAAATTAATGCAGTTTATAAAATTTATTGCTAGATTAATTTAAGCGATACAGGCATTTATACATTTATGCCTTTTCAGATATCAGAGGAAATAGTGACCACACTAGTCAAATACATGCAGTTTTAGAAATTATTGTAAATAACTTCCAGGTCTGAAGAACCAATAAAATTCTTATTTTGGTGTCATGCAAATCACTATTGAAACAGCATTCCACCACAATCAACCAAACAAACACTTTATTTTTTATAATTCACAGATATTTTTATATTGACGCATGTTTGTCCCAAAAACTTGAAAGATCACTAAATCATCATAGGTACAATAAATTAAACTTCAATAATATCAAATTTGATGCAATCTCCTGTTAAAATATTGCAATCATATTAATTATAGATCAAAACTATTTAGACTAAAGTTAGTAAAACAACTTTTTCCATGATACATCTTTACTAATTTTTCGTCAACTTTTCATTGCTTGTTTGTCTTCGGAATAACGTGGTCGAAGTGTACTCACCAATGATGGTTACAGTGAGGGTAAAGAAATATTATGATTGTTTCTTCAATAACCACTGCACAATATTTACAATAGCAACAATGTTTGCATTTTGCATTTTTATTTTGAAAACTGTACTATGTCAGCCAGGTATGCACATGAGCAAGTTCAATCAGAGGTTCAGTATGAGCAATAATGTAAACATGGCTCAGTGCTTATCAGGGAAATAATCATATTTACACTCACTATAAATGTCATTGGTGACTATGCCAAGTGGCCATTTTGTTCTGCTCAGGTGTTAACTGTAGTACATTTATATAACTTACTTGATCAATAAATCAATACATTTTCTAACTGTAGGTCGATTACATGCTATAACTAAGACTGGTATGACAACACCACTATGATGAGCAACAGCAGGTGGCTCAGCCTCTTCTTTGCTTTTAAAATCAAAAGAAATACCAAGGGATTTTTGTTTTTCTGTAAGATAGACATATGCAAACAATTATTATCAAATCACAGCCTATATCAGCCACACAGCATTCAAATTGCATGATGGTCTGTAGACAAGTACACATGTGATTGCAAATTCTCTTTCAAAGTAGTTTCATGTGGGCTGAAGACAAGCACATATGTGATTGTAAGACTTCTTCAGAGGTAGTTTTTCAGACTGGCTTGTAAGTGTACTTTTCTAGGGGTTCACAAGATTCCTAAAAAATCATCTACACATAAAATAAAAATCATCTACACATAAGATAACAACACATAAATTTGAAACAAGACCACTAGCCTTTTTCTGGTTGCAAAGTTATCATGCCAATTATATTCAGAATACTGGATGTTTTCAAATATAAGAAGTCATTGAAAATGACACAGTCCCCGTTAAATTTTTGAAAGTTCTCGTTTTGCTCGTCATATTAAAGCGGAGGGGTTGTCGCGAGCGTGTCCTTGAAAATTGAGTTCCAAGTGGCGTATACAACAGATTGTTTATTTACATCAAAACACGTGTTCCGTGTGGTAGTAATATGGCCAAAAATAAAAACAGCCGTTATTCGGCCATCTTTGATCTGATTGTGAAACACACTGATATGTATGATGTACATGTATGTGCCAAATACGAATGAAAATGGTACATAAATTGTGGAAATACCGCATAAAAAAACAAAAACAAGATGACTGTCAATCGGCCATCCTTGACCAGATTTTGAAACAAATTGTCATGGACATGCATCCTAACATGTATAAAGTACATGTATGTGCCAAATTTGAATGAAAACTGACAGAGCACGTCCAAAATACCGCATAAAAAAACAAAAACAAGATGCCTGTCAGTCGACCATCTTTGCGAAATAAATCGTCATGGACATGTATCCTAACATGTATAATCTATGTACCAAGTTTGAAATGAAAACTGACAAAGCATGTTCAAAATACAACATTTTCAAAAACCAAGATGGCTGCCAGTCGGCCATTTTGAATTGAATCGCTAAACCACTGCATGTGCATATGTCCCACATAAAGTACTAGGCACATGCAAAGAATAAACAGAATCGGTCCAAGGGATTCTGAGATATGACTCCGGACGGACGCACAGACGAACGGGGACCGAATTATAAGTCCCCGTTTTCAGACTTTGTCCGAACGGGGACTAAAAAGACTTCTTTTTTTCATGTGATAAATAAAATCCATTTCAGTTTGAATTATTTTTTCATTTGGGATAGGTATTTAGGCTTAATAAAAACTTAATAAAGTTTGAAAATTTTTAGATCAGGCTGTGTGTTGTGGTGTAAACCAACTGGTCCCTGTTCCTATAACATGCTTTTCAAAAATAGAGTAGATTAAAGATTTACTACGGTGTTTTTTTTCTTGCGTATAAAAACTTGTTTGCAGATATGAGAGTCATAAGTCATGTATAAAGTTGTTTACATTACTATTAAAGTTTTGCGATGTTTCAAATTTCTGTATAATCTTCTTCAAAGCCTGCCACAACTTTCAGATGTTTTCTCAAATATGGTCAAAAAAAGTTTATGGTGGGCAGTAAAAAATAATGTAGGTAGAAACCTCTGGATTTGACAATTCATCTCACATATATATACATTTACATAAATAACATTTACTGAGTCCAAAAACAAACAAAATTCAGTTTTTAGACAGATTTCATCAAAGAATGTTCCACATGAACCAAGTGCATGGCGCAGAGCAAGCCACATCACAGATATGTGACAGGTATTACGTATACAATTATGTTTTGAAAAGCAGAAAATCACTCACTAATAAAAATATCTTTCTGTCTCTTTATATCTTCTAATAGCTCGTCATTTTCTTGAATTTGTTGATGGATTTGATCTTGTAAATTTGACAACTTCTTTGACAACCTGGTCAGTGTCTGAAATAATGATTATTATTATTATTATTATTATAACGATATGATTGATGATACACCTGACACTACATACATGCAAGGAAAATGAAAGAAAGATTTACAATTCATATGTTTTTAGAAACAATACAAATTTCATTAGGAGGAAACCTATGGTGTTATTGAACCAGAAAGTGGAAAGGAAAATATTCACTGAGTATAATTTTAAATAGTAGGTTTGTGGTTGCAATATGATTCACTGAGTCTCTAATTCACTAGTTCGTGAAGGAAAAAAATATAATAAATTTTTTTATTTTATTGTTAAGTTTGAATATTTGCTGAGTTTTAATTCATCACATTTAAGCTGCCAGCAAAATAAGCACAAATATTACCCGGCAAATAAATTAAGCCTTTCACCACCAGTTCCCTTTTTTCCCTTCACAAATTCTATACTTTCCTTCCAAAAAAAAAATAAAAATAGCCAATTTGTTGGAGTAAAAACTGAAAATTGACCCAAGTGTTGCCAGTTGGCTCCAAAATTAGGATTCATTTCAAGAAATATTGAATAATATAAGAAAAAGGTGCAGAAAAATTTGAAAGAAACTCTGGTGGTGAAAAGGTTAAGCCCTATATAATAAATAATCCATGTGACACAACAAAAC